TATATATATATATATTTGATTGTCAAGCAAAAGTTTAATTAATTTATATGGATTATAATCAAGGCCAGAAACATAGGATAATTGCTCGGGGAATCCGTAGGTAAGTGGTGACAACGCCAAGTGCTTCATTTTATCCTTATTTTCCATCAAAATTCAAAACATTACTTTATTCACGCTTCTCTTTGAATTTTTTTTATTTTTTTTTTTCCAACGTTAAATTCCTGTTAGAGGAAAAAATAAATTATTTGTGTACTAGAATATTAATAATAATAACAACTAAAATATAACAAAATATTTAAAAGGAGAGTTAAAAAATTTGATCTAAGAAAGTTACGAATATCGATGTTTAAAAAACGTATGACCTTTCTTTATGTAGATACTTTCAACTCTGTATGACTCCAAAATAAAATATTTATAGCTTATAGTCATTTTTTTCCAATTATGCTAATTGTACATTTTGTTTGACATCATTGTTGATATTGTGTCATGTGTCGGCACATGATTGGACAGTTTTTGAATTCAACACACTTTCCCGCCAAAGCATTTTTAAATTTGCACACAATATATCATCCAAATTGTTTTTTATGAAATATACAAGAAGCTTTTATTCTATGAAATGTATAGGGAATACAACGCTGCTACTCGTACAGAACCGGATCACAGAAGCCCTTGACAAAATGAGGTGGAAAAAAAATGAATGAAACGCTATTTCTTTGACCTGGCCCAATCTCAAAGAAGCCTTAACATTCTATTTTCCCAATTCCCCCAAATCTTAGAGAAAGCCCTTAACAAAGAGTGACGATTCGAAGGAGATCTACTCATTATCTCTTCTCTCCGTCCCATCTTCGTCCTTCTCCTCCAACTTCAGCAGAAAACTCAACGCTACAGACAGAGTCAAAGAATTTACATTTGTCCAACTGCAACCACCGTCTTCTCCAGTGAAATCGACAGTGTACTTTACATGGGTATCTCGAAACCGGTTTAGGTACGTGGATTTACATATAGCTCCAACCAAATTTGTGTATTTTATGAGTTTTCAATAACAACCCAAAACCTGAGATTCTTTGTATCACAAATGCGTATGATTCTCTGTAGTTCATGGCCTTAGTCACATACATGTCTAGTCACTGCAAGAAGCATTTGAAGTTGACATATATTCTGAGATTCTTTGTATCACAAATGTGTATGATTCTCAGTAGTTCATGGCCTTAGTCACATACATGTCTGGTCACTGCAAGAAGCATTTGAAGTTGACATACATAGATGCGTGGTTTTTTATTTGTCAAGGAAATTAATTTTATTTTCACCTTTTAAAACTATTAGGTACATTGCATTTCATCATGGGGCCATGTGAAAAGAATATGGACTGAATGTGTTTTTGTAGTTACAATGACAGGACAAAACGATGGAGTTTGCCATGGATGTAGAAGACGTGGTCACATCTTTGCAGATTGCCAAAATAAGGTCCCTTGCCCGTGGTATAAAGCTGCATGTGCGAAGTGTTTTGCGGTGCTCAAGAACACTAAGAACAAAGATAAATTGTTTAAGTGTTGCAACAAAAATTACTGATTTTGGGAGTGGGTCAAAGAGGGTGAAACGTCCAGTGAATCAAGTTCCATTTGCAACTCCTTCACTAATTATTGGCGACTGAATTAGAGAACAACGTCTCCTGCATGTTCGAAACGATGTGCCAATTAACTCAGGAAAAAGATGTGGAGATAATCATGGCAATACATAAAGGAAATGCAAATACGGAATGTGATAAGAAAGGAAAGGGGATAGCATGATTTTATGCACTAAACTTGTTTTGGATGTCCAAATTTGAAGTTTCTGTGTATCTATCAAGTGTGGCTTTATCAAACATTTGTTTTCTTAGTTTGGAATTAGGAATGAATGCATATTAATGTATTGACTAGTTGCTAGGCTGTTAGGAAAATGATGATTTACAGATTAGAAATCATTTGCTTATGTCTTTGTAATCAATTACCGTATGAAGATCAATCATTTTGTTATTGGTAGATCAAACCTCCATTAGTTTTTTTATTTTTTTGAATTCTATGTCTTCAATTCCTTGAATTTGGCTTGTAGAAAGTTCAACAACTAAAAGTTGTTAAAATTACTATATAGTAAGTTATGATCATGAAGGCAATTATCAAAAAGCTACTGATGCTTAATAACAAGATAAGTACTACTTAGAACACAATATTAAAATATCAAAAAGCTTTATAAAACACAATATTAAAATATTTCTGTCTCACAGTAATATAAATCAAGGACACACAACATTCCACATTTATAATTTAAAGCTTGTAAGAACTAAAGTTGCTCTTTTTCATAATTTTCATAAAGACGGCATATGCTGAAAGGATAATTAATGCAACGGGTTGAGATGGACAACTGAGCATGTCGACTTGCATGACTTCTTGGCTGCTACTTGCTCGAACTTTTTACAGCGAATGGCCAACTTTCAAGAGGGTGCCTCTCTCCACAAAAATCATTAGTTTCCTCCATCTTGGTCTGGTAAGTGTGGGTACAAGTATGACATTTCCTCAAAATCTATACAATCCGGTCATTAATACCCAAACAAAAGATAAAATGGATGATACACTTTGTATGTAGAATGTTTAACTGTATACTTACCTGGACCATGGAAGTGAACATGACTGCCAGACGAAGATATAAAACTTTGTTGTGTAAATGTAAGATTTTGGTTCTCATCCTACAAAAATAATTTTTTTTTTAAAGTCCTTTGTTATCCATATTAATTTAATAATATACATATATTAACCATTAAGAGTTGTGAATGTGTTAACGATATAGTCATGCAATGTTGTGACTATTGAGGTACTTGAACGACATGTACTTCAACGCCAACATTAATTAGTCGTACCTTCGGCCTATTTCCTTTGGAGGTACTCGAAGTCCCCTACATGACATCCCAACAAGTTCGTTATATTAAGTAAACAACCCATAAGAAATTGGTAATATGACAGTGAAATATACCTTTGCTTTGCTTGAAATAGGTTCCAACGGACTCGTCTTGCGAAGTTTCTTTGGTGCACCCTTTCTTTTTGCAATATTGGACTTCGATGTCATTGCCATTTTACATTCATGTTCGATCCATTTTTGTATATTTGTAGCTCTGCTTTCATCATCTGCAACAAAGTCCGCCAACGTAGCAAAAGACTGACACGATTTGTCATACCTCAACTATCCCAGGGTACTAATCAACCCATCATATTAACTGCAACCCTTGTGTAGGCTTTACTTACATCTCTCCATCATCTTCATAGTATATACCTATTCGGTACTTGTTGGACACCATTATGGATCAATATTGCAATCATGTGCCTGCGTATTATTCCTCGAAATTCGAATAAGTAGCAAGTGCAAAGAATTTGACAATCTTCTCTCTGAAAAGATACGAAGAACATTTTTTTGTGAGATTGCTCATCGTTTATTTGCTTCTCGCATAACTCATATATTGTCCCCAAACTTCCCTCCGAAGACGAGATTAAGTAATAATAAAGCTTCCCGGTAAACTCTTCTTGAACTTTTCTAAACTTTGCAATGATGTAAACGGTTTGAAATTGCTTTTCCATTTCATACCTCATTACACATGGCAGCATTGTGAGAAAGACTTGAAATCTGCTTGAATCTCCTTTTCAACTTTATTCCTCAAAGCTTGTTCGCACTACTCGAAAAATTGCTTTAATGAAGTCTTTGAGTGCACATACTCATCGAAGAACGCATTCACATTCTCACTGTGTTAAGTTATCGACATTCCTACCCAGAAGCTGGTTTTGAAATAGCAAGGAACTCATCGACATCTGTTTTCATACAATCCCGACAACCAGGCATTATCATGCAAATCATATATATCAGTCATTACCCTCCATCCATCTTCAAATGCTTGAACAAATTGTGAATCGGAAACTAAACTGTGCATAGCATGGAAAATTGAATCCTTGTCCACCTGGTATCCAAATTTTTTTGGTAACTTTTTCAATATGTGTGACAAACACCATCTATTGTATCAGGGAACACAATTTTAATTGCATTCTGCATTGCCTTGTCTTGATCAGTAATTATACTCTGGGAAGCTTCTCCATGCACATATTGCAACCATATCCTGAATGGCCAAACGAATGTATCTATATCCTCATTTGATACC